ACCTGCACGGATTTTGGCTTCCCTGTCTGCTACTCCGCAGGGCTGATGAACGCCGACCACGTGACTCAGCACACGTTGTGATTCTCCTCGGGGCAGGGTCCTGGTGCTTTGCGTTCACTAATGCATGGCTCTCTCTCTGCCTGAGAACTCACACTGATTTTCCTTCTTTTTAAAAACAACACAGCACTGGCTTGCAGGGCCTCCAATGGATACGCGAATCAAACTCGAAGCTAAGAGGCTCTTGGGAGCTGCATCTCGGGCCCTTGATTTAGATAGCAAACAGCAGCACTGCAAAATGAGAATAAGGAGTGCCGGGCGGGGCCATCAGCTGATCCGAGTCCCCAGAGTGTCCTTTTGATTCCCTGGTTAGTGGTGGCACAAGGGCCGCCAGGCAAGAGGCTGCCCGCCAGTGGAAAATTCCCAGCTCTGGTCACCTTAATGAGAGAGGCATTCTTGACTGTGTAGCTTGGAGGTTTCCAGGGAGAAATGAGAAAAGAGAGTGTTTCAATGCCCTCCTTCAGCCTGGGCTGCAGCGGGTGTGACAGCAGCTGGGTGGTGAGGAGTACCCCAGATAACCTTGGTCTGGATTCATCAGCATCAACCAAAAACTCAGGGCACAGTGACACCCCCGCCCCCCAGCCCCGCGGTGCGCAGACTTCCCCTGCTGCTGACACGGTCAACTTGCAAAGACGGGTTGGAAGGAAATACTCAGAAAGTCGCATGCCTTAGATTTAAAAAGCGAAACAAAGGCGACTGATGCACGCGTGCTGGCTTAACTGGCAGCAAATCCGTTCTGTCGGATGGCGCTCACCGCCGTCACGGCTGGAAGCAGAACACAAGGCCTCTGCCTTCACCCAGGCATTCAACAGCCGCGAGCGAGGTCTGCTCGAGGGCTGGTGTGGAGTGGCCACTGGGGTGGGGATGAGGAAGAGGCGGCTCTGATCTTCTTGGAGGTCATGACAAGCTCTGCGCTAGCAGGAGTTAGCATGATCTGGAATCAAAGACCCTAACGCCTCTGGCCTCCAGATTGTGGGTCAGGGGAGCAGTGGACCCAGGAGAGCTCATAAGGAGGGAGACACCACGTTTGAGCTGAGCCCCAAAGGTGGGCAGTGAATGACAGGGCCGGGTTTCACTTTAGAGGGAAGCTCTCGCGGTGTGGGAAGGAGGTGTCAATAATTTACAGTGTGCCGAGTAGAATTTTATTTGGAAATATTTTGCCTTCTGAATTGGTAGTCTTTCTTATTCTGGGTCCTCGGCATATTTATGGAAGACACAACAATGGAACCAGCCTGCAAAACTCACTGCTCTCCTCTCTGGTGGGTTCCGACTGCACTCTGGGATTCTGGGAGTCAAATGGGGGAGGGGAGCGGGGGGCACACAGGAGTCCCCCAGGGCATGCTTTGTCTTGGATTTTAAGGCAGGCTCCGGAAGGTGTTTGTCGCTCCTTGCTGTCTAACTGTCAGGTCTGTGAAAGAAGAATTCAGCCTGTGACAGGCCAGCAGGTCCTCTGGGGAGTGGTACTGGACGGAGTGTGTAGGCTGACTCCCCTTCTTCCACATCCACTAGGACATCCAGGACATCCAGGGGTGGCTCTGAGCGTGAGAGCCGAATCCGCAGTTCATTTGTCCCCAGGGTTTCCCAGCCTGCGTGCTTCTGACATTTGGGGCCAGATCATGGTTTACTGTGAGGGCTGCACTGTGCTTTAGAGAGGTGTAGCAGCATTCCTGGCTTCTACCTGCTAAACACCAGTAGTAGAATCTCCCAAGCTGTGACAACCAAAAATGTCCCCAGGCATTGCCATGCATCCTTATGGGGCAGTCGCCCCTGGCTGGGACTGCTCCAGAGGCCGGTTTTCTGTCCGGTCATCTATTTCCACTTGGTTTCCCATTCCATCTCGCTCGCTCTCTCAGCTCCATTCAGCGCAACCAGTCTCCTTCTCCCTCGTGGAGGCTGCCCCTCTGGGTGCCCCTCCGGGGTCGCCTCCTAACTCTGACCTGCTCTTTGTAGATTCGCGGTGCCTCCCCCGCCCTATCCTCTTCCTGCTCTCCAAATGCTGCCATCCTTGAAGGCTCGGGCCTGAACCCCTTCTCTGTTTCACACTGCTTTCTCCCTCCCATCTCTTCCAGGGATTCTAAGTATCTTCTGCCTGCCGAATGCTCTCCAAGTCGTCTCCAGTTCAGACACTCACCTAAGTTCTAAATGCACCTCTCGTCGGCATCACACATTCCAGCCACCTTTCTCCAAAATCCATTCCTCGTCTCAAATTCTCATTTCACTGAATGGCACCTGGGTCTATTTGCTGCTCCAGCTTGAATTCCCAGGATCATCCTGACTCCTTCTCTCTCAGCCCAACACCCAGTCCATGACAATCTCCACACCCTGCACCTCCCTGTCTTTGCTGCCAATCTTCTAGTTCAAGCCATCACATAATCCGAGTAGCCAGTGATGTAAATAACTCCAGTGGCCTCCACGGTCTCCCGCCTTCCACCTGGCCCTGCTCCAGCGCACTCTCCACCCACTGCAATCTTTGAGAAGCATACACTGTTTCACAGGATGCTCTGGGTTCTTTGTTTTTAACACATATATTTATATATTTGAAAGGCAGAGCAAAAGAAAGAGAGGGAGAGATGGACAGGTTGGTCTTCCATCCTCTGGTTCACTCTTCAAATGCCCACAACAGCCAGGTCAGAGCCAGGCCAAAGCCAGGAGCCAGAAACTCCATCCTGGTCTCCCTCACGTGTGGCGGGGGTTCCACGCACTTGGGCCAGGCACATTGGCAGGAAGCTGGATCACGAGTGGAGTAGCCAGGCGTCAGGTGCCACTGCGCTGGCATCGCAGGCTACGGCTTCACCAGCCACGCCACAACACCGGAACTTGGCTTCCATTTCTTTTGCTTGCCTTTGAATAACATCTGAGTGTCCCCCAAACAGCCCCTCCCTCCTCTGACGCCACTCTTGGCCTTGGTGCTGCTGTTGCCACACGGGCCTTCTTCTGTTCCTTACCTACACGTGGGACCTTCCACCTGCCACGCTGTGCCCTGGCTCTTTTCATCCTGCTGGCTTGGCACTGCCCTTTTTGCTCCTAGAACCTCTCTCCTGGTCCCAAACTCTTACAGCGAGTTTTCCTATCTGAGTCTCTCTCCGTACCCTTCCTGCTCGCACGTGGGACACCTAACTCCCTACACACCCACAAGATGGCGTCTTGGTGGTTCGGCTCCCTGCTAGAGTGGAAATGTCACGAAGGGAGGGACCCCCAGTGTCTCTGGCTCCTTGCTACGTCTCCAGCTGGCCATCCAAGGTGACAGCCAGTGACTGCTCGGCAAATACATACTGCTCGAATGACTCATCACCTCCCACTTCCTTGATGAAAGTGCATCTCGGGAAGGTCACGACCCATGCAGAGAGGATGAAGGTGCTCACGGCTGGCTCAGAGAGGTGTGAAGGAAGAGCTCCTCGAAGGCCTGGGTCAAGGCAAAGGCGCTTCTAGTGGCGGGGCTTGGCATCACAAAGCTCGTGGAATGAGCCAGGCACCTGCTGGCTCAAAGCCGGCCTTGTTGATAGCTTCACTCATGGTCCCTGTGTGTCCCAAGATATCCCACTCCATCAGAGAGAGCTCCCCCCAGGACCAGGCAGTTCCAAACCATTGCACTCCAAGATGAAGAGCTGAGGTGGGCTCAGAGATTTCTGGCAACACTGTCTTCCTGGAAGGCCCAGGACTCCCAAGGAGGCCAGGATGTCCAGGTAGGGCAGAGCCCCCTGGGCCCAAGCAGCCACAGGAGGGATTGGGCAACAGCTTCACCCAGGGAACATTGAAGCCCCTTAAGTATTGGTGGCCTTGACCTGACCCTGAACGAATATCTTGGATTAAGCCACTGCCTACAATGCTGGCTTCCCATATGGGCACTTGTTCAAGTCCTGGCTGCTCCACTCCTGATCCAGCTCCCTGCTCATGTGCCTGGGAAAGCAGTAGAAGACCTCTCCCTCTCTGTCTCTCCATCTTTTAGGCCTCCCCAGCTGGGCCCTTCCAGGGACAGTCACTGGAGAGCACACAGCTACAATTATGCAGCTAAGCATTTGCTAAGATCAGTTATGATTTTTTTTTTAATCAAACAACTCCCAACATGTAGAGGCCAAAAAACTCCTGAAGCACACGGGGAGCCCGGTTTGTGTAAGGGTGGAACCCACTTTTCGTGGGCTTACCTATTCTCTCTCCAATCAGCTCTAATGGATCTGAGAGAAGTTTCAAGGTCCATGTGTTAGAGCTCAAGGACGAGTCTGAGGCCCTGATCCAAACATATTGGATTGGCTGCATGTTGCTAAACAACAGAAATAGCCCACATCTGCTGCGGGAGCTGGGCTGGGGCGGTATTTACAAGTGGGTCACTCAAGTTCCACCAGCAGTCATTAATAAAATACTAATGGGATATAAATGGCCACTTGCACCAACCAGAAAGGTAGAACTAAAGCAAAGCACGGGTAGGGTAGGGTAGGGTGGGGACTGTAGACGATGCTATTTTCAGCCAAAAGGAGCAGCCTGCGTGAAGGTGTTTGCTATTCTGAGACAGGTTCTGGGCCGAGACGAGCCATCAAAGTTTCAAAATTTGATTGAGGATTTTCTTTATGTTAACCCCTAGAGATATAAATAAACACAGTTCCTGCCCTCACAGAGCAGGCGGCTGGCGAGCCAGGCTGTTGTTCAGAAAGGCTGGGGTGGGTGCCGCATGGCTCAGCCCTGCAGATATTGATGTTGGCCAGAATGATCTGGGGACAGGAAAAGTCAATCGAAATGGAGTGGCAGCCAGGGCCGGGGATGGATCCTGGGGAGCGATGATTTAATTTTGAGACCCACCTTAAAGAACCCAGCAAGGTGTGAGATCAAAGTGAATCAACACACAGAAGGAAGTCTCCTACATCAGGAGGGACTTAATGCACCTCTGTTGAATGAATGAATGAATGAATGAACAAGTGAATCTGCTACATGGCACTGCATCCATTGCTTACCTCTGATTCTTTGTAGTAGCGTTCTGGAATTTCATCACAGGCAATATCGATAAAGCAAACTTCTCTCTCCAGGTCTTTGGCTTCATTGTCAAAAATCTGCAAGAGCAGACCAACATATAGAAGGTTACTGATGCCAGGTGGCCTGCCCGGTGCCCGTGGGTTGGCGTCACTGTGCCCCCGGCTGGCGCCTTCACCTGCCACAGAATGTGCGAGAATCATCAAAGGCTTTTTTTTTTTATTCACTGCTTAGGTTTTGTCACATCAGAGGCAGGTGTAGCATCAATCCCCACTTGGTAAGGGGTAGAAGAAAAAGTGGGCTGTTTTTAGAAGTTCAGGAGTGAGGAAATGAATCTCTTCCAAAAAAAATCTCTTCCCAAACCTGCCGTCTGCTGGTTTTTGGCAGTTAATCAGAACAGGGAGGGAGGGACGGAATGCGGTGGAGCCAGCCGAAGACTTAGAGAAGAAAAATGTGTACATGTGTTTTCATTAAAATGTTCGTATATATCTAATTTCACAAATAACACAGGCTCGGTGCAGAAAAACAGATGGGCATAAAGAGGAAAATAAGCCACAAACCCCTTACCCACGGAGAGACGGGCACGCTTTCCCTGATCATCTAAGAGGACTCTGTCCTTGACAAACACAGGGCTCACGAGGTCTACAGCACTAAGATACTGAACCGCTTCCTGCCAGCTTATTTTGGGTTCAGCTGGCCCAGAGTGCCTGCTACTTGCAAGAATAAGTGAATAAATCAATACAAGGCAAGACAGCCACAATATAGAGAAACTAACTTTGGTGGAAGGTCAAGTTCCTGTAGCCTTTTTTCACTGGCAGCTCTCCGGTCTGAAGGTAACAAGCACCCTCCTGAAGAATGGTGCACAGATCAAGTCAGGCAAACCGCTCCAGCCTTGCAGGAGGAAATCATTGTGTGTTCCAACTGTCAGAGAACTTCACAATCAAATATTTTTGCAAGAGCAGGGTGGTTGAGGCCAAAGAAAACTGCCTTGACTAGAATCGGTGCCTCTTAACAATAACATGAGCTCCCCCCCCCCCCCCAGCACTGGGGAGACTACATGCTCGACTTTTCTCCAGTCGACACGCTTAGCTCTTTTCCAAATGCTCTCCACATAACACGTGTGCTGGTAATCACCCTCCAAGACTGCTGTTTGCCCTGTCGCCTATTTTGGCACGTGGCATCTCTAAATCTGTCCAGGGCGATGAACTCCCCAGACTGGCCTGTGGTAGCCACTGCATTTTCCCCTTGAAGGCAGAGAAAGATTGCTTCTTGGATCAGCCCTGATTCCTTCCACTGCCACTTGAAGTCAAGTGCCTGGGGACACTTCTAACGTGTTTGGGGGGGGGGGGGGGACAGGTGGATTGCCTTGAAATGGAACAAACAAGTTCAAGTCTGAGCGGAGAAACAGGTTGTGGAATGAAATCCTGGGTCTCAGAGCCCCTCTCTGTCTCATTTAAGTGTGAGCCATGAGAAGAAAGACATGTGCCTCATTAAGAAGACAAAACTGAACACTGGGGGAGGAGAATGAGCTCCTAGAGAATAAATTACAAAAGAAGTTTGACATTTATTGGTGTTAAAACTTACAGAGCCAAAGAAAGGGGATCCAAGGGGGTTAAGAGAGCTGTTGACAGGCTGTGTGGCTTTACCTAATTTAATTTGAGCACTTTTGAGCGCCCGTTGTGCCAGCTATCACGTTATTGCCTCTCAGCTCTAAATCCATCCTCAGCCTGTGTTCCCAGACAATGGACTGGCGCCTGGAAGCGCGTCTCCTTTATACCGAGCACGGCGCTAAGCCTCGTCAGTAGAGGGCGCTAGAGAGACACCACAGGCAGCAGGGGCCATCTCTTCCAGGTTTGGCTCCTGCTCAGGGGCACAGCCTGTAGGTGGAGACTTTGAGTGGTGCTCGGCCCAAGCTGCGAGCCTCGGGGGCAGACCTCAGCGACCTTGCAGCCCTGGCGTGGGCCCAGGAACGACTTCTTTGTTGCCCTCCTAATTTGGGCACTGTGTGCGCCAGGCTGTACACTGGCAGCGTGCCCTGACAACCTCTACACACCTGTCCACCAAGCTCATCTTGTTGTGCCCTAGAGGGCTTTCTGCTGCCCAGAGATGATGAATCAGCTCTGGTTTAAGCAACTCCGTGAAGTTCTCTGCTATTCCATGGGCTCCCACCATTCCTTCTCCGGGGAAGTCTAAACTCTAGCCACAGAGAGCTGGTCATCCCAAGTGTGCCCTTCTCGGATATTCTCTCGGCCTTAGGGCACTCTTTAGAGTTCTCTTTGCATCTTTAGCATTGCTCTTATCAAACATCAATAATTCCTCATGTTATGTTCCTCTGGTTGGTATTGTGTGGTTTCTGTCTCCTGGTTGGACCCGACTGACCTACTGGCTACAGAGTGTTGCCCCAGGCTTTAGGAACGACAAAGATGATGAGAGTTGAGTTGCTGCCCTGAGAAAGTTACTATCCAGTGGGAGGGAGAGAGACTGGGAATCTCTCACCAAAAACACAAAGCAGAAGAAAGCAAGCACTACTCAAGTCAGGAAAGAAGACGCTATAGAGCTAGGGAGAGGCGCCATGGCTGTTACTCAACACCATCACTCAAGGTCATCAGTCAGTCGGTGTCTCCAGCGTCCCCCACTGGGCTCTCCCTCTGCCTCTTAGCACTCAATGAAGAAGATGGCTATCAGCCCAGAGTGCTTCCCGCTTCTTTCTAGAAAGATGAAATCAGAATCTGGTTTTCCTCCTGCTACCTATCAAATGTAGGTGTCATGAGAACTTCCCAAACCTTCGGGGCTCTTGGGCTCCTTTATCCGGTAGCCAAAGCTTCAGCGGGTTCCACGTGGGCTCCCTCCAGTCCAATCTTGGGTATCCTCGATTAATAGGATGCTTAATCCTCGTGCCGAAGTCCGTGAAATGCCAGGCACAGGAAAGCCACCTTTACTTGAACTGTGCAGGAAACATTTCAGGGTGGAGTTACACTCCTTGGACAAAGCCGCAAAAAGCCACTTTGAGGACCTGCACACGCTCTTCAGGCTTGAGATCACGGGTCACTTCCCAGTACGTAATCCATCTCCCGGTGAGTCACTGTTGTAGAAGATGCTTGAGGGCGCTCGGTGAATGCAAAGTCGGCAGAATGCATTAGCTTCTGCTTTCCCGTAGTAACCCGGGGCAGGAGCGTTGCTCGCCAGCTGATCTTCATTTCCGGTCATGAGTGCGGGTTCCGATTCTTTGGTCATAAGCATCCTCATTTCTCATAATTCCCAAGATAGGGCTCAGCATGGAGTGGAAAACTCTTAAGCCCGGGCAATGGGAGTTGCCTACACTGGGAGTTGGGAGAGCTGGTTTGAATTCAGTAACTTCTCTGTGTAAGCCTGGGCAAGCCCCCGCATCTGCTGCGGGCTGCCAGGACCTTTAGTTTAGATGGATGGGGGTCAGGGAGGCTGCGCGACACCCAGGAATGCAGCAGATCTTGGGGAGGCACATTTTCCGGGACAGGAGGATCGACCATTATCGTCTGACTATGAAAGAGAACTCCGGTGCCTGGTGTGAGTCTTGGCTCTGCTACTGATTCCAGCTTCCTTCTCATGCACACCCTGGGAGGCAGCAGGTGAGGTTGAATTCCTGTCACTCCCACGGGAGACCCAGATGGAGTTCCAGGTCCTGGCTTTGGCTTGGCCCTGCCCTGTCTGCTGTGGGCATTTGAGGAGTGAATTGGCAGATGGGAACTCTCTGTGTTTCAAATAAAACAATAAAACAACAACAAAAAAAATGAGTTAAAAAAAAATAAGACATCTGTGGCCCTGTTGAAGTTGAAACCAAGTGACCCAGATGACCACTGAAATTCCTTCTAGTTAAAAAGTCTGTGATGTTAGGCCGGCGCCGCGGCTCACTAGGCTAATCCTCCGCCTAGCGGAGCCGGCACACCGGGTTCTAGTCCTGGGCGGGGCGCCGGATTCTGTCCCGGTTGCCCCTCTTCCAGGCCAGCCCTCTGCTGTGGCCAGGGAGTGCAGTGGAGGATGGCCCAGGTGCTTGGGCCCTGCACCCCATGGGAGACCAGGAAAAGCACCTGGCTCCTGGCTCCTGCCATCGGATCAGCGCGGTGCGCCGGCCGCGGCGGGCATTGGAGGGTGAACCAACGGCAAAGGAAGACCTTTCTCTCTGTCTCTCTCTCTCACTGTCCACTCTGCCTGTCAAAAAAAAAAAAAAAAAAAAAAAAAAAAAAAGGTCGTGTAGTGTTAACGTTGGCCTCTGGGTCACATTCGTCCCCTAAGCCTTGCTCCTTTGGCTTGTTGCTTCTCTGTCCCTTCACCCCACAGCCAGCCAACTTGTGTGGTGGTCAGAGAGACTGCAGTAGGGACCTGGCTGGTGGCGGCGGTCATGGTGTAGCATCATTGGAGGGCACAGTCAGGGTGAAAGTCTGATCTTCACGCTCAGTGAAGGGCAGCATCCCGAATGAACACAGTTCAGACCAGACAGAGGCCCAGTCAGGCCCCAGAGGACACACTCAGCGACAGGAACGAATGCATCCGGGCTTCCCCACTGCGCAGGGCAGCAGCCGCCAGCGCTCGGGCCCCACCCCCGGCTCTCGGAGGTGGAGTAGGATCCACTGAGATGGTTTCAGGATGAAAGGCACCAAGCCAGAGCCTCGAAAGACTGCGCCTGGCCCCACGGGGCTGTGCACACTTTCACGGCCTTGTTTGCCTCTTGGGCAGAACCTGTCTCCTTCCGCATCAGGACTGGGGTTTGGGAGTTGACCTTGTAATACGGCTCGCATTGCTGCGTGTTTGTCGAGATGTGCTTCTCTCTGCCCCGTCTACCATCTGCCCACAGAGCACCTGCAGCAGATTCTGTGCCCACCTGGTTGACGCCCCCACCTTCCACTCCGCTACTAGGGAGTGGACGCTCCAGGAGCCAACCCCCTTCGAACAGAGATCCGCAAGAAGGCAACTCTTCGCAGAAACACTCCCTGACAGATTCCAAAATAACAAAGAGCAATTTCCCCTTTTTTGGCAAAGCATTAGGCTGAACAGTATCAATTTTCTTGAAAATTTTCATATGCTTTGACCTAGTAAGAATACGCTT